CTAAAAATACAAAATTAGCTGGGCGTGGTGGCTCATGACTGTAGTCCCAGCTTCTCAGGAGGCTGAGGCAGGAGAATTGCTTGAGCCAGGGAGGTGGAGGTTGCAGTGAGCCAAGATCATGCCACTGCACTCCAGCCTGGGTGACAGAGCAAGACCTTGTCTGAAAGAAGAAGAATTCAAGTCACACAGTAATTATCAGGAATACAGAACTGTGTAAAGTAAGGTCTGCCTGTACCTGTATAAATAAAAGTATTGGGCTACACTGAATCTTACCTCTCCCCAGGGGTAGAAGCCTGCCTCACCACCAGGACCTAGCCCTAGGTACATACCTTGGAGCACCGTGGAAAAGCAAGCATTTTGGCAGTTATTGGCAGAGCTGAGGCTCCTCCTCTCGGGCTCATCAATGATAACCCAGAGTACCACCTCCCTTCCCTTCTCCTTCAGAGGCTACATTTCAGAGTGTCTCCTGAATTCTTTTCTCCAAGGAACTCCAGCATCATAGACTGGCTCCTATCACTCCCACATGAGCTACCCACCCTGCCGGCCACTACCACCCAGATACTTAGGATACTAGTCTGCTGGAGGCCGACATCCCTCTCCACGAAGACATTGGGGGGTGAAGTGAGAGGGGGCTCCCTGTCCCTCACAAGCCCCTTCCTTCAGGTCCCCAAGACCACCACACCGGACTGTTCAGGCACACCAGGCCCTGGGTCCCATAGTCAGTGGGGAGCCCCAATTCCACTAGTCAGAGGCCCTTCATTCATCCCCAGCCACAGGCTGGCTACACCCATTTAATTCAGCAGAGACAGCACTTTCTCTTTTCCTTCAAGATCAGAAGTCTAAATAAACCATATGGAGAAGAGAAACAAATTCTCATGTAGCAAGTTGTCTCACTTTGCGGAGTTAACAGAGTCCCCAAATTATATGGCGTAGCCTTTGGTGTCCTTTCTGCACTATGCAGAACAGAAAACGAGCTGCCTTCAAGCTCTGAAGTTGATGACATTTCCCCTTTGGGAAAAAAAGATTTTTCAAAGGAAGGAAGGTTTCCCATATTCCCCCAAGGTTCTTTCATTGGCTTATTCACTCAAGCATACCTACCATGTTCCAGAAACTTCTAACTTCCTATTTACAAAGGCCTTCTGATATCACAGCATTTCTGATTCACAAATTGCACTGGACTTGAAATAAGAAGTATTTCCAAATCACTGTTTTATCATTAGAAGTTAGTACAACCTCTCCAAGTCTTAATACATTAGAGCCAGGCACAGTGGCTCACACCTGTAATCCCAGCACTTTGGGAGATCGAGAAGGGTGGATCACCTGAGTTCAGGAGTTCAAGATCAGCCTGACCAACATGGCAAAACCCCGTCTCTACTAAAAATTATGGTGCATGCCTGTAGTCCCAGCTACATGGGAGGCTGAGGCAGGAAAATCACTTAAACCCAGAAGGCAGAGGTTGCAGTGAGCCAAGACTGCTCCAGTGCACTCCAGCCTGGGTGACAGAGTGAGACTCCATCTCAAAAAATATATATATACATAGTAAGAATCTTTGTCCTGCCAAACTCACAAAACTATATGCAGATCATCTAAGAACTGCCAGTGAACATGGGAGTAATGTCATTGTTATAAAGAAAAAGATTGGTTGGTTGATTATTTTTAAATGAGATGTGGTCTTTCTACGTCACCCAGGCTGGTCTCGAACTCCTGGACTCAAGCAATCCTCCCACCTTGGCATCCCAAATGCTGCGATTGCAGGTGTGAGCCACCATACCTGGCCAAAATTTATTGTTAAACAGAAAGAGGGGAAGCAAGATGGAAGGGCCAAGCCACCTGTTAGAGCAGAAGCAGTTCTAGAAACCCCATCTCACAGGGTTCTGGGTGCGGAATTGCTGAAAACATCCTCCTCCTTTATGGGTGGGCTCTCAGGGCTTAAACACGATGACAGCCATGAGTTTTCATGACGCAAATGGAACATATCAATCATGGTGCCTGTCTTACCCAACAGTCTCTTCTAATGGAAACTCTGCCACACCCAGCACAGCCTCACTGCCTTTTCAGGAAAGCAGTCCGAGGCTTCTCTACCAAGGGTAGGGCCCCTGATCCAAAGGCAGCTAGACCCCAGTAAGACACCTATGAAAGTAGCCTAACTTCACCAATAGCAATGGTGGTAATTACCAAAGTCAATCAGACCACATCCCTCAGATTTGCCTGGGAAAATATAGAGCGTCATTGATCATCAATGGTAGGAGAAAGAGGGCAGATGTGCATGGGAAGCAGGGAGGGAGGCTCCGCCCTCAGGGAGAAGCCAGTTCCAGGGCGCCTCAGGGTTATGAGCCAGCCCTGTTTCCACCACAGCATTTCCTTGTAACAAGCGTATTTCCCCTTGATTCCCTTAAAGTTAGCTTAAAGGAATCTGAGGCTGGATAGAAAAGTCTCTAAAAGAGGAAACTAGAAGTGCTTCACTGACACAAAAACTCAACCTGACTTACCTCCTGTGGCCAAGAGACATGTTTCTGGAATATCTACACCAGAAAACACTCAACCACAGACTGTTGAATAATGAGGCACTACATTTCTGTTGGTTTTTTAAACTGTTTTTCAGCTAGAAAGAAGATAGATATGGGAGGAGCAAAAAGCTCCACACTGGTCCTAATGCAGCCCCACAAGATCACAGATAAAAGTTTTCACCGTGAAATACTGCAAATTCCAAATCTTGGGGGGTAGGGGCAGGGAAGGTAGGGGACAGTGGCAGAAGGGACCACCTACCTGCAGGTACTCAACCCCAACAATGGAAAGCAGCCTTGGTGCACTCTCTGCAACCAAGGACCATGTTTTTGCAGAATTGGGGCTTTAATGTGAGACATCTGTTGGTATATCGACCCAGCAAATCTGGTAGAAGCTACCACTGTGCTCTTGCCCTGGGAGAGATCCATTCTAATCAACAGCCAGGAGGAGCCAATTGAAGGCTGGCAGCAGAGTGCCAAAAATGTAAGGCTTTGTGTGGATACCCAAGAGTGAAGCAGGAAGGGAGAGGACACACAGGAAGCCACCCTAATAAATTCTCAAAATAAGTCGAACATTTACATTATGTCATGTGCTTATACACTGAGCCAGGGTGTGTATGAGAGTGTGTGTGTGTGTGTGACAGTGCGTGAGTGTGAGCGCGCGCATGTGTGCGCGCGTGCGCGCGCGCTCACGCAGAGATGGATCCACACAGACAGACACAGTCCAGGCCACTTCCTCAGCCTAGTGAAGAGGAGGTACTGTGCAGGCCACGAGATAATCGAAACGCAAAGGCTACATTCAAATTCAGGGTCAGGGAATTAACTGCACTTTAGTTTGTCTCTTTCCTTTCTGAAAGAAACAAACCCAGAAAACATTAAATACTTGGAATTTCTTACACATTATTCACCAGCACCTCTATCCCAAGACTTGAGAATTCAGCAATTTGGTCGTCTTCTTCTAGCGGTCTCTTCTTAATTAGCCTCTTAGCTTCAACCCCTCAAGCAGAGAGGATTCAAGTGGCTGCCACTATAGAACAGCTTTTAATTCAGGCATCACGGGACCCCATGGCATGATAACAGGATGGGTTACCTTCTAAGGATGGGGCTGGCTATGAAGTTTAGTGGCTTTTCTGGTTAAAAAAAAAAAAAAAAAAAAGTCTTCCTCTATCACAGACCTACGAAACAATTTAATCTATCTGGGCAATGGCAAGAATAAAGAAGCTAGCAAAAATACAAAACGCACCTAACCGACCCCAAGTCACAGAATTACAGAGAATTCTTTCCTATGGGACTCCCGCTCCTGGCCCCGGCTTTCTGGCGCATGCCTGGTTTTTTCTGCTTTTTTCCATCCTTCCAGGTTCATTGTTCAAGGATCAGGCATCATGATCCTCTGCCCCCCACCCTTCCCCCTCAGTGATTTTTTTTTTTTTTCCTTCTTCTTCAAAGGCAGGGTCTGTCTCTGTTGCCCAGGCTGGAGTGTAGTGGGACAATTACAGCTCACTGCAACTGAACACCGGCGCTCAAGATCCTCCCACCTCAGCCTCCCAAGTAATTGGGAGTACAGGCGCGCACCACCACGCCCAGCTAAATTTTTACATTTCTTTGTAAAGAGGAGGCCTCCCCATGTTGTCAGGCTGGTCTTGAACGCCTGGCCTCCAAGGATCTATCCACCTTTATCTCCCTCCCTAAGCGCTGGCCCCTTCCCCTGCGTTGACTCTCTAGGTCAACGGGGAGGGGAAATCCCTGCCAGGAAGGCATCAGGGACGCCAAGGCCACTTCAGCAGCAGCACAGTCAGGTGCAGAGCTTCTAGTGTAGGGAGCAGTGGCCATCTTGAGCGTCATGATAGCCGTCTTGTGATCTTGTTGCTCAAGCTTCTGCTTCCCTTATCTAAGTTTTACGTTCTTCTTAGTCACGAGGCCAGCCTGCAGCCTCGTCTCCATGATAACTTTCTGACGTCAGAACTCAGAGCTTCCCGCCTTTGCTTGCTTATAAGCAGCTGCTTTGTGCCTAATAAACGAGACTTGATCAGATCTTTGACTTGTCTCCATTCTTGGCGTCTCCTGTCTCTCTCTTAATCCCCACTCCCTCCCTAGGGTCTGCGTTGCTCGTCCCGCGGGTCGGGACACTTCTAGCCTCACGGTTCGGCGTTTTTAGCTTGCTAGTGAAAAGGGTAAGCTAGTGGAAAGCCGGCTTTAGCCCTGGAGGCAGTGAAGGAAAAGGGAGTTGTGGACACTGGTCTGGGAATAGCCTGCGGAGACACCGTTATCACAGTTCACTGACTACCGCTGGGGGGGTCTCCCTTTCAGAGTCCTCACTTGTACTATTTTCCTTTCATCCTCCCAAGTCTGTAGAGCCAGAGTATCATTAGCAGGTTTTTATTGATGAGGAAAAGGAAGACGTTCAAGACCCACCCAGGAGTCTGCTGGAGTCCCTTCCCTTTGTTAATTCTTAGCACGTCTCCAACTCCCCGTGCCCCACCCACCCCCCAAGCCACCGTTCCTAAATGCCTGTCAACAAAACGTAAGAGTTAGCTCACTTCAAAGTGGGATATGGAGCTCGGCATCCTGCTCTAAACTTTTTTTTTTTTGACGGGGCGTGGTAGCTCACGCCTGTCCTCCCAGCTCTTCGGGAGGCTTAGGATCGCTTGAGCCCAGGGGTTTGAGTCCAGACTGGGCAGCATCGTTGTTTTTTTATTTTGTCTCAAAACAATAAAAATAAAAGTATTGCAGAGATTGAAAACCACCGGATTCCGCTCTTCCCAGCCCGCAGCAGCCGCGCAGCGCGGGGAACCCAGGGCTCCGCGGCACCCGCTTCCCAGACTCCAGCTTCTCCACCGAAGCCCTCGGGCCAAAGCGAGGCCGCGAGGAGGGCGCGCGCGGCCCGTTCAAGTCGCTGTGAACCTCCAGATACCCTTGGTTTCCATGCACATCCCCGCCATTCCCTGTTCTTTCGTTCGTACGGTGTTGGGCTTACTTTCATTTATTGCTTTCGTTTACCAAGAAAAAAACCAATGCTGAGCGCGCACAAGGGGCGCAGAGGGCGGCGGCGGCGGCGGCGGCGGGCCGGAGCGGCCTGCGCGGGCCTCCCAGGGGCGCTGCTCTGCGTCCCGGCCGCGGCCTCGTCCGCGCCCCGCGCGCTCCAGCACCAGCAGCGGGATCTCCTCCAGCCGGTTGGGCCGCTCCCCGCGCCGCAGGTAGCGCGGCCGCCACGTCCCCAGCCTCCGGAGCAGCCTCTGCAGGCTCGAGGGCCCCCCCACCCGGGGCCGCGCTCCGGGGCCGCCTGGCCTGAGAGCGCGCACTTGGCCTTCTTCCCGCGCGGGCCGCGGAACAGCCGCCGCCAGCACCAGCAGCCCGAGCTGGAGCCGCCGTCGCCGGCCGTCCGACCGCCTCCGGCTCCCCGCGCCCAGGGGCGCCCCGCTTCAGGCGCGCCGCCTTCTCCAGCAGCTCATGCTGCGCGCCGCCGCGCCGGGACCACCGGGCCCGGGGGCCGCCATGGGCCACGCAGGCCTCTTCTCGGGAACCGTCGGGCGGGACAACTCCACGGCCGCCTCCAGGACTCCACCGAGCCGCTCGCGTCCTCTGCCGGGAATGTGCCCACAGGCCCCCTCGACGCGCTCGGGTTGCCAAGGAAACCTCATTGGTGACCACACAATGCCCAGCAGAGCCCTCAACCTCTGCCGCCGATGGGGTCACCAGAATCCAAAGACCCAATCCTTCAAACAAGTCAGCCAAATGTCGCTGTGGACTGATTTTCAAATATGGCCTCACCTGGGCAAGAAGGAGTCTTGACGTTCCTGGGGACCGAGTCCTCGTCCGCGAGGACACCAGGCGTCCACAAGGAGAGGGCTGCGCAGCCTTCCCTTGGTCAAGGCGTGGGTTTCCGCCTCAGGCCTGTTGCCCTGGAGATTTGTAGTTTGTGAACTGGTTTCAGGTGGTCTGCACTTTCCGGTTAACAGGGAACGAGAGTTTCGGGAAAGATCTCAAAACCTAATTTGCTTCATCTCGCCCCACCCAAAGGCTTCTTTCTTGTAGGATTGTGATTGATTTTTTTTTCTTTCTGAATGTGAACAATATTTTTGAAGAAATTTTGTAAAACTAATACAAAAAAATACTTTTTTCTGCTTCTTTATATGCATATATTTTTCTACTTGTTAATTTTCTCAAATTCAAGGCAAAGTTAAATAACAAAAGCTACTATGGGGGCTGGTCGTGGTGGCTCCTGCCTGTAATCTCCGAAATTTGGGAGGCCCAGGTGGGCAAATCACTTAAGCCCAGGAGTTCAAGACCAGCCTGGGCAGCATAGAGAAACCCTGTCTCTACAAAAAATACAAAAGAAATTACAGGGCATGAGAAAAAAAGAAAGCAAGCAAGCTACTCTGGGCACAGCCCTGGAGGGAGGGACAGGGCAGTACCCCAAGCTGTGCTGGCAGCTGGCTCCGTGGGGCCCTCTCTCAATGGGCATGAGTGGGATAAAGTGTTTGTGTTTTGTACTAAAATATAATGCAAATATTGATGAAAATAAACATTTTTAAAAAGAAAATGACCTACCAAATGGGAAATTAATTTTATTACTAGATAGACACGAAGAAACTTGACTTCAAGGTTGTCCATCTCAGTATTCTGGCAGAAAAGCATGAAATTGAGCTGTTCCTTGCAAAGACCAGGAAATCCAGCATTTCCTACAAGAATGGGGATTGCTTGGAAAAGAATAGCTATCTAGAGTACCTCCAAATGCTGACACGTTGTAGGACATATGCATTACTGTTCATGAGGCCAACCAGAGAGGCCCAACTGTTAAAAATCCTGTCCCTGTCCTTAGGGAGACGCCTGCAGCAGACCCAGGGCCAGCACTGGGAGGGACACATCTCCTTAGGTGTGACCCTTCTGCATCCCTGTCATGTTCCTTAAGTGACTCGTCTAGTCTAGCCCAATACACTATGCCCTGAGCAAAGTAGAAAATTTGAGGACAAGCCTGTGCCGGTGGTTCCTTCTTCACAAGAATGAAAATGACTTCATGCTCCTAAGTTTGCCCCTGCCTCTCTTATTTTCTCCTTAATAACTCATGCACAGAGCAGTGGTGCTGAGGGGCTCTGCTGCTGGCCTTGTTCAGGATGGGCAGGCCCCCTGAGTAGAGCAGTTCCAGAGGAGAGGCCCAGACGGGGGAGGGTCTGGGTGACCTAACCCAGCCCTGAAGGCGTCTGTTTTCATCAGCCCTTCCCTGTGCACTCAACAACCTCCCAAGACCATCTGGGCCTAGCCCTTCCACCTTGCTCCAAGGGTCCGCTCTGGGATCCTCCCCACCGCTCCAAGTGAACTCTATTGAGGATGCCCAAGACCTGAAATGGGTTCTGGAAATCCTGAGTCCTCCCCGTGGTCATCTCCACATGTGTCTCCTGTCTTTCTCCTGACAGACGCCACTCCCAGTAGTAGGGATCAACCTCTGCTTGATAGAGTAGGTAGCTAGGCAGATATGAGCAGGGCAGGAGACCTCCCCCACCAGAAATGTCAGATGACCATTAGGTGATGGTCATGTGGTTGTTACACTTTCCTTCTAAAATAGTAATTGTTCACAGCAGGCATCAGGAAAAGGCGGTCTCCCAATGGGTAGGAAATGCCTGACACTGGTGATTAGCAGCTTCCCAATAAGTTCTCAGGATTTGGGACAGTAAGCTCAAGTATGTGCACTAAGAGGCAAAACGGCGGAGTTTCACTGGTACATGACCTTCTAGTGTGACATGGTAAAAAGCCCCAAAAAACTGCACACCTCAACCATACCTCAGCTTTCTGTTGAAACTGCTCTCTATAACCCAAATGTGAATAAGTAATTAAGGACTGTGATCGCCACCCTACCCAGACAATGTGTAGACGAATGCTAATCTTGGCTTTTGTGAACCACTTAAGCAACAATCAGAATGTCAAATAGTCCCCTGGCCCTCGGAATGTCCGGAATCCTCTCACCCTCATCTCCCCACAGAAGGTGATTTGCAGAATCCCCTGGCCCTCGGAATGTCTGAATCCCTTCACCCCCACCCCCGGAGGTGGTTTACAGGTATAAAAGAGTCTTGTCACCCTCTTTTCGGGACCACGGGTTAGAGACACGTGAGTCCTCCGTGGTCGCCGGCAATAAACCCTGCAATTTGGCATACTTTTGTCTTGGTGTTGACTTTCTATTCTCGCTCCAGTATAACACTAGGAACCCTCAACTGACTCAAAAGAGTATGCACATGTCAGTAAACCCACTGCGCATTCAGACCCTGCTCTCAAATGCAATATGTAGGCCACCACGCATGCAGACGGCCCACCCCCAAGGGAAGAATTGAGAGAAGGAACACAACCCCCAGAAGCATGCCAACGTATGAAACCCCAAGTCAAAGGCCGAACACTGCACTTGGATCTCTCAAGTCACCCATTTGGCCCTCTTCCAACTGTGCTTTACTTCCTTTATTTCCTGCTCCAATACTTTTTTTTTTTTTGAGATTTTGTCTCATTCTGTCACCCAGGCTGGAGCACAGTGGTGTGATCTCAGCTCACTGCAAACTCCACCTCTGAGTTCAAGTGATTTTCCTGCCTCAGCCTCCCGAGCAGCTGAGATTGCAGACACGCACCACCACACCCAGCTAATTTTTGTTTTTTTGATAGAGAAAATGTTTCACCATGTTGGCCAGGCTGGTCTGGAACTTCTGATCTCAAGTGATCCACCCACCTCGGCCTCCCAAACTGTTGGGATTACGAGTGTGAGCCACCATGCCTGGCCCTACCATCTTCAACTAAAACAAAGATAGAAAGGTATAGCTGAGGCCAGGAAAGAGGAAGAGACCAAGAAAAGTAGATAAAAGACAGTAAGGTTTGTTACGCAGATTAAATCAGTGTCTCCAGTGATTCAGAGTCATTTTTCTCTTTGTGATGCCAGGAGGGAGACACTCTTACAAATGGAGATTTTTTTTTTTCTTTTTTCTTTTTTTTGGAGACAGAGTTTCACTCTGTTGCCCAGGCTGGAGTACAACAACATGGCCTCAGCTCACTGCAACCTCCACCTCCCAGATTCAGGTGATTCTCCTGCCTCAGCCTCCTGAATAGCTGGGACTGCAGGCACCTGCCACCACATCCAGCTAATTGGTTTTTTTTGTTTGTTTGTTTGTTTTTGTATTTTTAGTAGAGATGGGGTTTCACCATGTTGGCCAGGCTGGTCTTGAACTCCTGACCTCAGGTGATCCACCCACTTCGACCTCTCAAAGTGCTAGGATTATAGGCATGAGCCACCACACCCAGCCAATTATAGTGCAAATTCTTGGTAACAAATTAGGAACTGCCTCTTCTTTCCCTTTATTTTTTATTCTTTCTTTTGAGACAGAGTCTCACTCTGTCGCCCAGACTGGAGTGCAGTGGCATGATCTTGGCTCACTGCAACCTCTGCCTCCCAGGTTCAAGCCATTCTCCTGCCTCAGCCTCCCGAATAGCTGGGACTACAGATGCCCACCACCACACACCAGGCTAATTTTTGTATTCTTAGTAGACTTGGGTTTCCCTATGTTGTCCACAATGGTCTCAAACATCTGACCTCAAATGATCCACCCACCTCGGCCTCCCAAAGTGTTGAGATTACAGGTCTGAGCCACCACACCTGGCCTTCTTTCCCTTTCAAAACCCACTTGTAACTGCTGCTAATTGGAGTGTATATTCAGGGCAACTTGAATCTATGGTCTCAGGTTGCAGTTCTCAAGCTTGGCTCAAATAAACTCTCTACTTACATTAGTTTTGCCTCTGCTTTTTCCTTTTTTTTTTTTTTATAAAGACAGGGATTCACCATGTTGGTCAGGCTGGTCTTGAACTCCCAACCTCAGGTGATTCACCTGCCTTGGCCTCCAAAGTGCTTGGATTACAGGCGTGAGCCACCATGCCGGGCCCACTTTTTCCTTTTAAGTATCCAGTGCAGTTGGCAGGATTCAGTGCCTATCTTCCCACCTCATCCCCACTGAGGAAGGAGAAAGGTAAAAACCTTGTCAGGCAGGCAGTTAGGCTGGGTCCTCGCTTGAATCCTTTCAAGCTAAAGAACAGCCTGAGGCACAGATAAGGAAACTTGCAATGGGGGTTGCCTAAGACATGCCCACAGCTGCACAGATAAGAAACGCTACACAGGTGACTTGCCCAGGCATGTCCGCAGTGGAAATTTCTGTCCCCTGACACATAGGTAGTAAGGGGAACAAAGCAATATGGAGTAACTCAAGCTAAGGGCCCAAATTCACCTTAGGAGGATGGGACGGAGCTACCAGAAATTCACACCTTACACAAATGAGATGCCTAGCCTTCATCGGTTTCCTATAAAGCCTTTGCATTCTACTATAAAAACAGCAACCCTCTTCTGAGTCTCGCTCTGCAGTAGAGAGAGTTCTTCTTTCACTTATTAAACTTTTGCTCCAACCTCACCCTTTGTATCCGCACTCCTGAATTCTCTTGGTCCTGAGACAAAGAACTCCGAGTGATACCTCACAACAAGAGACTGCTACATTGTGTCAAGTTGGTGAGACTGTAACACCACCACCATTTCTGAAAATGGGCTTGATACTAACATGAACTCTCTGTCTTCAGGGGTCCTATTGTAAATGCCCAGTGGATCACCTTGCCTGCTGCCTAGACAGAGCCGATTTATTAAGTCAGGGGAATTACATTAAAGAGCCGGCTGTACAGGAGACCGGAGTTTTATTATTACTCAAATCAGTCTCCCCAAGCATTTTGGAATCAGAGTTTTTAAAGGTAATTTGGTGGCTTGCGGGGAGCCAGTGAGTCAGGAGTGCTGCTGATTGGTTGGGTTGGAGATGAAGTCATCAGGAGTCGAAGCTGCCCTCCTGTGCTGAGTCAGTTCCTCGGTCGGGGGTCGTAAGATCAGATGCCAGTTTATTGATCTGGGTGGTGCCAGCTGGGTAGTGTCTGCAAAATATCTCAAGGACTGATCTCAGATTTTACAACAGTGATGTTACCTCCAAGAGCAATCTGGGGAGGGTCAGAATCTTATCCTTCAGCTGCATGACTCCATAATTTCGAATCTTTTGACTAATATGTTACACAGCTAACTACAATCACCATGTCAAGTCAAAAGAAAAAAGAAAGAAAGAAAGAAAGTGACCAATTTGTTAGTCCTACAAACAGTCTAGTCCCCAGGGAAGAAGGGGCTTTGTTTCCAGAAAGGACTATCATCTTTGTTCCAAACTATAAATTCCACTCCACCAGGCGCAGTGGCTCACCTGTAATCCCAGCACTTTGGGAGGCCAAGGCAGGCGGATCACCTAAGGTCAGGAGTTCCAGACCAGCCTGACCAACATGGTGAAATCTGTCTCTACTAAAAAAATTAGCTGGGTGTGGTGGCAGGTGCCTGTAATCCCAGCTACTTGGGAGGCTGAGGCAAGAGAATTGCTTGAACCCAGGAGGAGGTTGCAGTGAGCCAAGATCCCACCATTGCACTCCAGCCTGGGCAACAAGAGCAAAACTCTGTCTCAAAAAAAAAAGTACCACTTAAAGTTAGTTCAGCCTAGACCCAGGAATGAAAAAGGACAGCTTGGGCCAGGTGCGGTGGCTCACCTGTAATCCCAGTACTTTGGGAGGCCGAGGCGGGTGGATCACGAGGTCAAGAGATCGAGACCATCCTGGTCAATATGGTGAAACCCCATCTCTACTAAAAATACAAAAAATTAGCTGGGCATAGTGGCGCGTGCCTGTAATCCCAGCTACTCAGGAGGCTGAGGCAGGAGAATTGCCTGAACCCAGGAGGTGGAGGTTGCGGTGAGCCGAGATCGCGCCATTGCACTCCAGCCTGGGTAACAAGAGCGAAACTCCGTCTCAAAATTAAAAAAATTTAAAAAAAAAGAAAGGAAATTTGACTTAACTCTGAGCAGTTAGTTCCCAACTGAAGGTGCATCCACATTTTGCTCTCCCAGACAGGTGTGAGGTCCAGTCCCCCTTGAGCACCCTGCTGCCACCTGGCAGATGTACTCCAAGATAAATCATATTTTGACCCTAAACACATTCCTGACCTTCGTCACTTCTGAAAGTTTATCAATTATGGGAACTCCAGCTTCAAAATCTAAGTGTTCTTCTTAGAGACACCAGCTGGACTGATGTACAGCACTGATGGAAATTCTCTTGTAATTAAAAGGTTTTCGCTAGGAAAGTGAAACCGTCTAATCCTGGATAGCCATAAGCAGCATTAGCCAAAAGAGAGATTCTCTGAAATGTCTAAAATAATTCATCTGCATATATTGAGGGAGGAGATTCTTAATCACCCTTACGCATCTACGACCATGCCCCCCTTGACTTCCACACTGCATTTCAATAGGAGAAGAAAAGGCTGGCAGACCGGGCACCCCCATAATCACCCTCCTATAGATGCTGGCAGAGTGTGGAGGAATCTTTCCAGAAGGCATTGTTTTCACTTAAATATGATCAAACCACCACCTAAGTCATTATATCCCAGCCTATTCCTAAGCCCAAGACCCTTTCACACATAAATTCTAGAGCTCTAAGCCCAAGACCCTTTCACAGGTAAATTCTAGAGCTCTAAGAGCAAGACCCTTTCACATGTAAATTCTAGAGCTCTAAGCCCAAGACCCTTTCACATGTAAATTCTAGAGCTCTAAGAGCAAGACCCTTTCACATTTAAACTCTAGAGGTGTAAGACCAAAACCCTTTCACTTGCAGTTTCTAAAACTGTAAACCCAAGGCCCTTTCACATGTAATATTTAGAGTTGTGAGCCTATATAAAGGCAGAGGTTTCCTTTGTTTTTTGTTTTTGTTTTTGTTTGAGATGGAGTTTCGCCCTCGTTACCCAGGCTGGAGTGCAATGGCGCGATCTCGGCTCACCGCAACCTCCGCCTCCTGGGTTCAGGCAATTCTCCTGCCTCAGCCTCCTGAGCAGCTGGAATTACAGGCACGCGCCACCATGCCCAGCTAATTTTTTGTATTTTTAGTAGAGACGGGGTTTCACCATGTTGACCAGGATGGTCTCGATCTCTTGACCTCGTGATCCACCCGCCTCGGCCTCCCAAAGTGCTTGGGATTACAGGCTTGAGCCACCGCGCCCGGCCTGGGTTTCCTTTGTTAGAGGAGCGTGGCTGTTAGGCAACTATGCCACCTTGCTCCTGGCCTAATAAATCACCCCTTCCTTCCCTGTGCAAGAGGTCTGTTTCTTGAAGCCGCTTCTGCTAAGATACACAGCTGGGGAAAAAACACTGGTTTTAGACCCAAACCAACCGAATGGGAGACATCCTTTATGTTTGTGCTGGCTGAAATCTGATAAGAGATTTGAAAATATTGTTTTTTGTTTGTTTGTTTGTTTGAGACAGGGTCTTGCTCTGTTGCCCAGGCTACCGTGCAGTAGGCCATTCTCAGCCCACTGCAGCCCGAACTCTTGAATTCAAGTGATCCTCCCACCTCAGCCTCCTGAGTAGCTGGGACTACAGGTGTGCACCACCATACTCAGCTAATTTTTCGATTTTTTATAGAGATTGGGTCTCATTATGTTGCACGGGCTGGTCTTGAACTCCTGGCCTCAAGTGATCCTCCCATCTCAGCCTCCCGAAGTTCTGAGATTGCATGAGCCACCACACCTGGCTTTTTAGAACTTTATGATCAGAAGTCAGCATAGTTAAAAGCTGACATTTGGGCTGTAATTTTTTAGACAAAGACAAAAAGTCCTTCGTGCCTTTTTCCTCCTTTGGATCCTCTTTCTGAGCATTTTCTTAATTGACTGAAACCCCTTTTTATTTATTTATTTATTTTAAAGACAGGGTTTCACCATGTTGGTCAGGCTGGTCTTGAACTCCCGACTTCAGGTGATCCACCCGCCTTGGCCTCCAAAGTGCTTGGATTACAGGCGTGAGCCACCGTGCCCGGCCGGTTTTATTTTATTTTATTTTTTGTAGAGACAGGGTGTCACCATGTTGGCCAGACTGGTCTCAAACTCCTGACCTCAGGCAATCCGCCTGTCTCAGTCTCCCAAAGTGCTGGGATTACAGGCGTGAGCCACCGCACCCGGCCTGAAACCCCTTTTTAAATGTGTTTGATTCCTCTGCTTCCTACCTTGTTGGCATAATTTTTACTGAAAAAAGTGTAAAATGTGTTAGCCTTTTAGAAAGCTTAGAAGCTCCCCAAATTGCCTCTTTTAACACTTGTGCTTCTATTTCCTTCCACCTGAAACCACCACTGCAAAATTATAACTAAGGCAGTGAAAGAAATCTAGCATTATCAACTCCATCTTGCTTCTAACCTCCAGACTGTCCTTGTTCATTCCTGGGCATAGACTGAACTGACTTTGGAGGGACTTAGTTTATAGTTTAACTTTGAAACAAAGACGATAACAGCCCTTTCTCAAAACCAACTCCCGGACTAGGAAGTGAAAGCCAAGACTGGGAAGGAGAACCCGTCAAGCCCAGGCGGTGGTGGAAAGGTGAAGGGGGTGGAGGACACACCTAAACATGTGGAACCCCAATGCCGGGCAGCCAGGGCCAGATCCATATCCCCCCAACATGGGATACCCTGGAAGTTCCAGTCCTGCCCAGCCACCACCACCTGTCAATCCATCCTTTCCCCCAGGCCCTTACCCTCCTCCCACAGGAGCTCCCCACTGCAATCCAGTTTTCCCCCCATGTGGGCCCCCTCCTCCTGTGCTACAGCCAGGGTATCCAGGATGCCAACCCTCTGGTCCCTACCCTCCTCCATACCCACCCCCTGCCCCTGGAATGCCTCCTGTGAATCCCTTGGCTCCTGGCATGGTTGGACCAACAGTGATAGTGGACAAGAAAATGCAGAAGAAAATGAAGAAAGTTCATAAAAAGATGCAGCACAAGCATGGCAAGCATTCCTCCTCCTCTTCCTCCTCCTCTTCCAGCAGTGACTCTGACTGAACACAGGCCCTGGACCCTTCCCTCAAGTCTCACCAGTTCTGCTCTCCCATCAAGCTGCAGATGCCATGTTATACTGGGGGAAAGTAGCCCTTGTGCTCCCTTCCCCCACCCCCACCTGAGCCTCCTGCTGTTCAGCCCTGAGTGCCTAGGGCAAATGGGAAGAGGATTGCCACGGCATGGCCGTCTTCTGGCTGCTGGGATAGATCATGTAGCTAATGAGTTTAGCAGGGGAGCTATTTTTTGAAGACAATGAACCAAATGTTGAAGACAGGTTTGAGATCTGTAAAGCGTGATTTTTCTTCCTCTTATAATACTTGTGACTGAGGGGTTTGTGGAAATTTAATTATGATGAAGAACCTCTATCTTTTTTGTAATGTTGGCATACTTGGAGAATTTAGTAGCAAATACATTCCCCAGCAGGCCTTTCGTTGGTTGCACTAACTGCAAGATTGCTGGGAAGTACAGTCCGTTTGGTCGATGAGCTTTGACTGCTGTTTAGGAACCTCACCTCTTCTCCTTAGCCCAATATACTGTGTCAGGTCGTATTCTCATTCCCCAGCTCTCAGTCCAGATAAAGTTATTTCTCCTGGGGAAAAAAAAACAACTCCCTTCTTCCCTGAGGACTAGACTGCCTTTGTAGGACTAACAGCCAAAAGATTAGAAAATATAGTTTAGGAGTAACGCAGCTAGAGGCTACAAGATTCTATCTACCATTTTTTTTTTTTTTTAGACAGAGTCTCCCTCTGTCACCCAGGCTGGAGTGCAGTGGCAGGATCTCAGCTCACTGCACTCAACACCACACCCAGTTAATTTTTTGTATTTTTAGTAGAGACGGGGTCTCACCACGTTGGTCAGGCTGGTCTCAAACTCTTGACCTCATGATCTACCCTCCTCAGCCTCCCAGAGTGCTAGGATTGCAGGAGTGAGCCACGGCGCCCAGCCTCCCTTTATTATTTTGACCACACAAATGTCATCGTTCAATGAGTTCACCTTGCTTCCTGCCTAGACAGAGCTGATTTATCAAGATAGAGGAATTGCAATAGAGAAAGAGTAATTCGTGAAAAGCCAGCTGTGCAGGAGACTGGAGTTTTATTATTATTCGAAATAGTCTCCCCGAGAATTCGGGGATCAGAGTTACCTTTATTTTTGAGATGGAGTTTCGCTCTTGTCACCCAAGCTGGAGTGCAATGGTGTGATCTCGGCTCACTGCAACCTCCACCTCCTGGGTTCAAGCGATTCTCCACCTCAGCCTCCTAAGCAGCCCGGACTGCAAGCGCCCACCACCACGCCCCGCTAGTTTGCTGTTGTTGTTTGCATTTTCAGTAGAGACGAGGTTTCGCCATGTTGGCCAGGCTGGTGATCCACCCATCTTGTCCTCCCAAAGTGCTGGGATTACGGGCGTGAGCCACCGGGGGATCAGCCTGACCAATGCGGTAAAACCCCGTCTCTACTAAAAAGACAAAAATTAGCCTGGTGTGGTGGCGCAGGCCTGTAATCCCAGCTACTCAGGAGTCTGGGACAGGAGAATCACTTGAACCTGGGGGGCGGAGGTTGCAGTGAGCCGAGATCATGCCACTGTACTCCCGCCTGCGTGATAGAGCAAGACTCCATATCAAAATCGTAGTAGTAATAATAATAATACAGGGGAAAGGAAAGGAAATTATTATTATTATTTTTTTTTTTGAGGCAGCATTTCACTCTTGTTGCCCAGGCTGGGGTGCAATGGCGTGATCTCAGCTCACTGCAACCCCTGCCCCTCAGATTCAAGCAATTCTCCTGCCTCGGCCTCCCAAGTAGCTGGAATTATAGGCATGAGCCACTATGCCCAGCTATTTGTGTGTGTGTGTGTATTTTTAGTAGAGACGGAGTTTCACCATGTTAGCCACGCTGGTCTCAAATTCTGGCCTCAGGTGATCTGCCCATCTGGGCCTCCCAAAGTGCTGGAGTTACAGGCATGAGCCACCTTGCCCGGCCATTTTTTTTTAATTGTAATTTTTTATTTCCATAGGTTAATGGGAACAGGTGTGTTTGGTTACATGAGTAAGTTCTTCTGTGGTGATTTGTGAGATTTTGGTGCACCATCGCCCAAGCAACGTACCCTGCACCCAGTGGGTAGTCTCTTCTTTCTCTCCCCCTTCTCACCCTTTCCCCTTGAGTCCCCAGGTTCTTGTGATTGTTTGGAAAACTGAGTTTCCTCTCTATCAAAAAGCAAAGGGTTTTGCTTTCTGAAATCTATGAATTATCACTTGGGCTAAATGACCTACTATTATTTTACAGTGACTTCTGACTTTTTTTTAGACTGGAGTGCCGTGGCTCAGTCTCAACTCACTGTAACCTCCGCCTCCTGGGTTCAAGTGGTCCTCAGCCTCCAAAGTAGCTGGGATTCCAGGCAAGTGCCACCATGCCAGGCTAATTTTTCTATTTTTTTTTAGTTGAGATGGAGTGTCTTTTATATATATATATATATATTCCTCCATTACCTGAAGCAAGAGATGAAGTTTCAACATGTTGGCCAGACTGGTCTCAAACTCCTGACCACAAGCGATCCACCCACCTCAGCCCTGCAAAGTGCTGGGATTACATGCATGAGCCACTGTGCCCAGCCCTATGGTCCTATTTTTATCAAATATTTTTATTTATTTTTTATTTATTTTTTCTTTAGACGGAGTTTCGCTCTTGTTACCCAGGCTGGAGTGCAATGGCGCGATCTCGGCTCACCGCAACTTCTGCCTCCTGAGTTCAGGCAATTCTCCTGCATCAGCCTCCTGAGTAGCTGGGATTACAGGCACACGCCACCATGCCCAGCTAATTTTTTGTATTTGTAGTAGAGACGGGGTTTCACCATGTTGACCAGGATGGTCTCGATCTCTTGACCTCGTGATCCACCCGCCTCGGCCTCCCAAAGTGCTGGGATTACAGGCTTGAGCCACCACGCTGGGCCTGATCAAAATTTTTAATATTAAATATTTGACATTCTTCTCAAATCAAATTTCAAATTCTAAATTAAGTCTTTTGCAAGTGGAAACCCTGGAAGTCTAAGAGGTACATATTAGGCTGATTAGATAAGTTGAAATCACACAGAGCTCACATCTCCTGCTCCAAACACTCCCCAGCCTGTGTGGGTTCTCATACAGGAGCCCCATCAGTGCCTTTCCTTCTGAAGGCCTAGAGCTAATGACAGGCTCAACGAGCCCAAACTCCTGGAAACTCTCCCAGTAATACTTGGGATGCGAAGATGTATGCTAGAAGGGAACAGATGGCTTCTGTTTTTGTGTGCGGTATGGACGGCAAAAGGTCAGTGAGCTCTGTAGGAGACAGCACCATGCCAAGGGGACCTGACCCCTGAGACAGCCTTCCTCACCTTTGCCCCTCTCAGACACCTGCTGACATATGACCAGGTGCAGATGGAGAAGTGCCAGCCACGTCCTGGGAGGAGCGGATCAAGCTGGTGCTCAGTCCCAGCAAAGCAGGGTCAGTGACGTCCCTATATGTGAACGGGGACACATTTGTAAGCAAAGACGTGAAGTGAGAGAATGAGATCACCCACGGTGACATCTGCCACTGCCCAGGCGACTGGTCCAAAAGTAGGTGTGGAATTGGCACGAACTACGGCAGGCTGTGCTTAGATACTGACCCCATTCTAACATGTAGACTTTGCAGGGTACACATTTCAAATCGCTCTGTTAGGAGAACCAAAGGTTTTCTCCAGATATTTTGAAATAAACTTTTGATGAAATAAATGCATCAGAGGAAAGGCCTTGCTCCCATGTTAGGAAAGCAAAATCTTTACCCAAAGACACTGGGTAACCACAGTAATGACGATTATGCGGGAACCAGATTCTCTGTCCTTGACTCTGTGGGTAGAGCCTTTCATCAGGATGTCAAGGCTACTGAAATGTTGGTATAATCTTGATGTCAGACAGGGTCTTTGCTTGGAAGCCTCCCAAATCCAAGGCCTGTGGAAATCCAGACATCCAAAGCATTCCCTCTGAGATTGCTGCGAATCTTTTGTCTCCTAATTTCCCTTTCTTCTTTCTTTTTTTGTTTTGAGATGGAGTCTCACTCTGTCACCCAGGCTGGAGTGAGTGGCTCGATCTTGGCTCACTGCAACCTCTGCCTCCTGAGTTCAAGGGATCCTCCTGCCTCAGCCTCCTGAGTAGCTGAGGTTACAGGCATGCCACCAACAACCAGACAATTTTTTTGTTTATTTAGTAGAGATGGGGTTTTGCCATGTTGGCCAGGCTGGACTCGAACACCTGACCTCAAATAATCTGCCCCCACTCAGCCTCCCAAAGCATTGGAATTAAAGGCATGAGCCACTGTGCCTGGCCCTAATTCCCCTTTCTATGTGATCTCTCCACCTTCTCTCTGACTTTCACAGAACCCTCTCCCATAGGAAACATGAAACATTTTGAAACTCCTCAAATTCCTGGGCTCAAGTGATCCTCCTGCCTCAGCCTCCCAAAGCATTGGGATTAAAGGCATGAGCCGCTACACCTGGCCACCAGCTTGTAATCCTGCTACTTCTCTTTCTTCCTCTTTTCAGGAAGAAAAATAAAATCAGTCCTTTCCCCTTGTTCATGGCAAAGGAGTTTCCCCTTTCTACTGATTTTTTTTTTTGACACTTGTAGGCTGACTTCAGGATTTTATCTCCCCGAAGCATGCTTGCTATTTTCCTAGAGATACATATTTCTATTTAAGAAAGATTCTTTTGCACCTGCTTACATTAAGTATGTTTCTGATGTTGTAATGAAGACCTTTGCAGGATTGCTGCCCTAAGATCACAGGTGGTGGGTGGATGAATGAGGAAGGGGGAGAAATAGTCTCTAGTCAGCATCATGAGAACCAGCATCACCACCACCATCACTTCCATTCATTGACTCTTGCTGGTTGATGTAATGTAAGGGCATTGTGCACGTGATCTCATTTCAGCCTCACAACAGGCCTATGAGATAGGCAGCAGCAGACTCCCATTTCACAATGAGGAGGAGGATACTAACAACACTTGCCATGAATGCTCTACAGCTGAGCAGAGGTGACAGGCTAGCTAGGAACAGCTTGTGGATAGAACCCCGCCTGTGGATCGACTGGGAATTTGACTTGCCCTCCCAGAGGGACAACTAGGAACTGCCAGGCAGGGGTAGAGGGAGGTCTGGAGATTTGAATCAGGCACAGATACGGGATTTTTTTTTTTAGATGGAGTCTCGTAAGACAGAGCTTATTAAGTATTAACTCACATGATCACCAGGTCCCACAATAGGC